GATGATGATGGATGGATGATGATGAATGATTGATTGATTGATGATGAATGATTGATGATGATTGATGAATGAATGACGATGATGAAAATTGATGAATGAATGACGATGATGAAAATTGATGATTGATGGATGATGATGGATGGATGGATGGATTGATGATGATGATAGTGATGGTGATGATCATGGTCATGGCTATTATGATGATGATCTTGACAACGACGACGATGATGATTGATGAATGATGATGATGATGATGATAGTGATGATGATGATGATGATGATGATGATGATGATGATGATAGTGATGATTATGGTCATGGTCATGGCTATTATGATGATGATCTTGACAACGACGACGATGATGATTGATGAATGATGATGATGGGTGGATGGATGGATGGATGGATGATGATGATGTGATGATGATGATGATGATGATGATGATGATTGATGAATGAATGACTGACGATGATAATTGAAGATTGATGTATGAATAAAAGAATGAATGACGATGATGATGATTTATGGATGATGATGGATGGATGGATGATGATGATGACGATGATGATGATGATCATGGTGATGATTATGGTCATGGTCATGGCTATTATGATGATGATCTTGACGACGACGACGACGATGATGATTGATGAATGATGATGGATGGATGGATGGATGGATGGATGGATGGATGGATTGATGATGGTGATGATGATGATGATGATGATGATGATGATGAATGATGAATGATTGATGATGATTGATAAATTGATGAATGAATGAATGACGATGATGATTGATGTATGAATAAAAGAATGAATGAATGACGATGATGATAATTGATGATTGGTGGATGATGATGGATGGATGGATGATGATGATGATGATGATAATGATGATGATGACGACGATGTGTTTTATCCGGAACGTAAATTTGATATTTACGAGGTCACATCGTTACACACAGCCAATTGCAACCAACACATATTCATTAAAATCATATCTGACAAATATACCATGCGAACAAAACCCATTGAGAAGGAAGTATAAGTTACCATGTATTTACAACCCATACAGAAAAATTGTCCACATAATGACAACGATGTTACTGGAAACGAGGAATTAAATCAACAAAAAAATATTCTTATTAAAATCTGAAATAATTTCCTTCCAGTTAGTTGTAAACATTGAGTAAACCGTCCGCCCATTTCACAAAAGGGCTTTATGAGAATGTATTCATATCGCCCGATAAGTGGGTTTGGTGAAAGTGAACGCTTCTATTAGATAAAGCAACACTAAACGTTAGTCTACGGGAATGTAACTTAAAACCAATAGGCTTTGCTCAGTCTGGGAAGTCAATTTTCATAGAAGACCTCATATATATAACTGTCACGTTACCGGACATCTCAGACACTGTTAAGATGATATAATTATGCGATTGATCGTTTTTTTCCGTTTTCACTGTAACGGACTACAATCACAACTTAAATCGCCCGATGGCATTTTGCCCTGTGAGTCGACGAAGTCGCGTTATGCACCAACAACGGGCTGTTATCTTCCTCTCCCCTCACAATAAATTGTCGTTTACAATTTAATTATATTTTACAAAGGTCAAAACTGATAACGAGTGTCGACTTACACTAGTCGTTATTCGCTGAACATTTAGAAGCTTGATGATGAGTAAATATGAAATGGAAATATCACCTTTTGGGTCATTTCAATATGTTGAATGGAGAGATATTTCCTTAATGGATAATAATGGCGTCTTCGCTTGGCGACAGGGCTGTTAGTGACATGAACCGTTCTTATAATTGAGAGAGACATGCGGGCAAACACGATACCCTGTGAGTTTATCATAAGATACTCTGTATAAATCTAGAATGGAATGGTTATTGATGGTCAATAACTCAACTTCAATAACTACATTACGCTATAATTATTAGTTTTCGTTTTTGTCTTCTCGAACGATGTTTAATAAAGAGCTATTATGTATTGTCTGGTTGCAAGCTATTTAGGGGATATTATCACATATTACATATCCTCAATAAATATTTTTTTACAATGCTATTTTTTCTCCAGGTATATTTTTTTCTCCAGCACCAATTCATATTTTCTACATTGGCCGAAGCGCTCTACAATATCATTATTATAAATATGTAATCGACAAGCAATATACACTTATAAATTTGCTCAGGTTAGTACACTTACGTGTTGTTAGTGTTGTTAGTACCGAATGTCCGCCGGCCCTCGCGTGTGGAATATTCAGTTACAAAAAGATTGAAATTACAGTCGTGTTTCTTCAGTTCTTCAGTTGTGGGGGATGGTATGAAGACATTAACAATAATTCATTATAATGTTTGGTATTATATTGAAATATGAATGTGTGATTTGTAATGCTATATTAATGTATTATTGGCGGGTGACCTGTTACTGAATAAATTGTCTGTCTGTCTGTCTGTCTGTCGGTCTGTCGGTCTGTCTGTCTGTCTGTCGGAACTAAACAAAAGTATATACTTGAAAATTGGATTTGACCGAAAAATTCAAAACGCTACCAGCCGAAAACAGTCGCCGAAACGCCGCTGCAAATTATCAGGTCCAAAATACAAATAAAAATCAAATAACCATTTCTTGTTAGTTTCATTTTAGCCACCATCAGACATGGGTGTATACTTTCTTTTCCCCGGCAGTTTACTTGTCAATGATGCAGAATATAAAGCCATTTTATATCGAATGATTTTTTTAATTGCCTTATTTTTCATTATTATTTATGTTTAACAATTAAACAATCCAAAAACCGGCCTTGCCACGCCCGATAGGAACACAAGTAGGTATTCATTGGCAATATAGACTTGACCCTTTACGTCAAGAAATTAATTATTAATACAGTTTGTTAGTTTTCACGTCTTCCATCAATAAGATTTCAAAATGACATGCTATTTCTTTTTTCTTTATGTTTGGACGCAGCCCCGACATTTCCTTAATTAAAACCATGCATTTAATATTTATCACGGTGGGTCTAATTTTGACAGGTTCGTATTGATTCTAGACGATAATAAAATATTGCATCACACAAACATCCGAGTCTGAAATTAATTGTTTTATTGTCGAGTCCCGTCTATATTGCACAACTGAAGATGTAGATGTATAACCAGACCCTTGCGTTAATTACGAGGTAATACATTACACGACAGCGTTAATTAACAACACGTTAACGCAGCGAAATGAGAACTGCCTGGTAATAGACAACACATGGGCAACTGTCTTACAAGAGGTATTTCAGTTATGACAAGTGCGTGATATGTTTGTACTTAACATCAAGCTTTGTCAGAAGTATATCGTTCACAGAGACGGGTTTTGACGCAACCTGATTAATTAAAGTTTTAATTTGTAGAACACATTATTTTTTATATCTGATGTAAAATACGTGAATTGAAGTTGTCTTTTTCAGAGGCGTTGCTAAAAATATGCAGTTATATTTTTACGATATTTTCATTCTTTGTGAATAAAATAAGAATGGAAGTAGTTTTAGAATCGTGTAGATAAAAGTATACTGAAGTACGGGATGGCGGTAGATTTAAACGGACATTAATCTAATAGAATTTTTCAAATAACTCTTTTAAATCAGTAAATTATAACTTTATTCTTAATAAACCAAACGCAGAGAGAGAAATTCAGCATAGCTTAATTAAGCACAGACACATTCAATAATCGGGACACGCGTACATGACCATGAACCCATTACAAAATACACTAGTACCATAATAAACATTATATATCCAAATTATTTTGGGAAGGTTTTTGAACGAAGTACAAATACTTAAAACAACATTTTGCAAAAAAACTTTGACATAATTTTAATGATATCCTAGTGACACGTCTTTATTCCCCATTCCCAAAGCCTATGTTAACGAGGTTGAATAATGTTTTTACATCGCCGTAACGTCGCCCAAACACACTATACTGCAGATAACAATATGATTTTCTGCTTGAGTGATGCACGTAAACCCCGTAATGTCTATTACCGAATCAACAGGTAGGCCCATTATACCTTGTCTATATCACTATGTGGGCTAACAGTCTTCTTCAGAAAGGTTCACCCTCGGGGCTTCTCTATGCTTATAGCTGTCAAACGCTTATTTCACCTGTCAATCACGGAGAGCTTATGACAAACGGTGATGCAACCGCTAAGAGTTACGCTCTCCCGATTTCTTGTAATTGTTAAAGGAAATTCTCCGTGTTTAGAAAGAAAATAATTTCATATACCTGGAGTTAATGAATCCCGTTTCACTATCAGAAATGAATTATCCTTTAGACGCGAACGCTGACCGTTGCGCAATCCGTGACACTATAATTACAAAGGGTCGAGGTTGTTGCGTTATCGGGGTTTATTCTATTAGGCTGGCCCCTGCCTTAAGCGAATTTAAGTAATACCACAATATCATTTCGGGGATCCCAAACATGCATTTACAATGATCCCGCATGATGATACAGATTACTAAGGACAATTTGGGATTTGTAAGCATTTGTTTAGTGTAAGCCGTGTTGGGTAATTTGGATGTCAATTGGGTAATGCGAACAAGATTACCCTATTACTAAGAAGAGAAACTTCAGTTCTAGAGTTTTTTTGATTTCAGTTTATAGAAAACGAAAATGATAAAGTTATGTGTGTAAACAAGAAAAGAACATTGTGAACTTTTTTAAAGCAAAATGGTAAGTGGTTTCTCTTAAGTAGATGGGGGTATTTTAAACAATTAACGAAAAAGTAACAAAAACGTCGAAAAAATATCAATCCTGAAATTTAAGAAAGAAAACAAAAAACCGAATGATTTGCATCGAAATATTAAAAAAAAGAGAACAATATACAAAAATGCAAATCCGAGATCGAGCGATTACCGACAAACCTGTTTATATAATATCTGATTTTGAAATAACTGCAATTCCTGTATCATATAAGAAAACGCACCTCTTCTCGGGAACGCAAGTACATTAAATTACACGTAATGGCGGTAGGCGTTCATCTTTATTCCTTACTTTCAGGATCTTGTGAAACATCACAAACATGTTTCTAAAAGTTCCCAAATATAATAAGTTTATGTCCAATTAGAAAAATGGAATTAAACATATATCTTCACTCTCAAAAGCACTCATTGTTTATAATCCCCTTTTAATCGTTCCCCGATGGTAAAGGTATTTGCTGTTATAGCCCCAAGAGCCATTAAAGAAGGCTATATCTTGGCACCTGGCATGTCAAAGCAAAAGTGCATCCATCTTAAAATCTATGATTCCCACTCTTCGTTAAGAACTCGGTTTATCATTTCACAATATTTTCTTTTCGCCATCGGAAAATATTGTTTACCATTAACCTTAATTACGCTATCGTTTCGTATCGCACGAGTTCGCTATGAAAATAATCAAAATCCATTTGAGAAAGCCAGTCCAAACTTCAGCATTCAGAGTTCATGACCCACCACGTGCATTCCGATGCGCGCGCCTCCCCAAACTTCCATCTTGCTAGTTGTCTTGTTAGCCTCCGCGCACCTTTCATCTCGGCCATAAACGAAGCATATGTCAAGTTCATCGCTTCTTAGAACTTATCAAAACAAATTAAACTTCTATCCAGGAGGTAGACTTCCCCCTAACACGATGCAAAATATCGTCTGCTTCTCATGCGGAGTTATTTGTCAATTTCGATATCGCCCTCGAGATTTCACAGCACGCTCCAAGCAAGCGCGGGACTGCCAGTTTACAATTTCTTCGTTTACTTTCATCTTTCAAGTGGCTTAATGCAAAGCAAATATTAGTGGCAAGTATAAAAGTAACCCGATATTTAATATCCCAGCTTTTTGGGCCCGTAATCACCCGTAGGGAAATATTTATTTATTTCACAAATGTATCAATTATTCCGCAGTGTTCATTTTGCGCTTTGGCCACCTTTGTGTGAACGCTTTGCCGATTCGAACACAAACAGACACGTCAGGCAGATTCTTCTAATCTGACTTTCCTAAATATCAGTTACTGAATATTTCCGGGAACACCAAATGAGCATGTAAAACGTTTTAGGTGGTCGAAGCTGTGCACGGGGCGTTTATGGTTCGTTAAGCGAAGATATGGACTTAAGCCTATATTAAACCGGCATATTAGGCAACACAGATGGCTTGTTTGTCATTGTTGTCAGCCATACACAGATGGTATCTTGGGAAGGAGAGTTATATCATCGCTCTTAATGTTTTATATAGATTTTCTAGAAGAAAACGCCCTTGGTGTACGATACACCCGCTTAACAAACATTCGGTGCATTTGTTTAGAACAGATTCCACTTCCTAAATCTTCCCCGAGGGTCCTTCATGGAGAAACCCTGATTATTCTACAATCTGCTTTCCAATTGGTAAGGCCGCATATCGCTAGATCTCGCGATATCTGTAACGGTTAAACGCGACCAGGTGACAGAAAATTCCCCAAGCAGTACAAGTTAATATCAGACGATACCAGACCGATAAGGAGAGAGAATTGATACCTCCATTCCGTTAGTTCCGACTGACCCAGAAGCATAGCGTTGTACAGTACTTACAGCCGATCACCGTTCTACAGTACCCGCCCTACAGCCGATCTCCGTCCTATAGTACCCTCCTACAGCCGATATCCGTTCTACAGTACCCACCTCCAGCCGATATCCGTTCTACAGTACCCGCCTACAGCCGATATCCGTTCTACAGTACCCGCCCTACAGCCGATCTCCGTTCTACAGTACCCGCCCTACAGCCGATCTCCCTCCTACAGTACCCTCTACAGCCGATCTCCGTCCTATAGTACCCGCCCTACAGCCGATCTCCGTCCTACAGTACCCACCTACAGCCGATATCCGTCCTACAGTACCCGCCCTAAAGCCGATCTCCGTCCTCCAGTACCCTCCTACAGCCGATCTCCCTCCTACAGTACGCTCTACAGCCGATCTCCGTCCTACAGTACCCGCCCTACAGCCGATCTCCCTCCTACAGTACGCTCTACAGCCGATCTCCGTCCTACAGTACCCGCCCTACAGCCGATCTCCGTCCTACAGTACCCGCCCTACAGCCGATCTCCGTTCTACAGTACCCACCTACAGCACCCACCTACAGCCGATATCCGATCTACAGTACCCGCCTACAGCCGATCTCCGTCCTACAGTACCCACCTACAGCCGATCTCCGTCCTACAGTTCCCGCCCTACAGCCGATCTCCGTTCTCCAGTACCCTCTACAGCCGATCTCCGTCCTACAGTACCCTCTACAGCCGATCTCCGTCCTACAGTACCCTCTACAGCCGATCTCCGTTCTACAGTTCCCTCTACAGCCGATCTCCGTTCTACAGTACCCTCTACAGCCGATCTCCGTCCTACAGTACCCGCCCTACAGCCGATCTCCGTCCTCCAGTACCCGCCCTACAGCCGATCTCCGTTCTACAGTACCCGCCTGCAGCCGATCTCCGTTCTACAGTACCCGCCTACAGCCGATCTCCGTTCTCCTGTACCCACCTACAGCCGATCTCCGTTCTACAGTACCCGCCCTACAGCCGATCTCCCTCCTACAGTACCCGCCCTACAGCCGATCTCCGTTCTACAGTACCCGCCTACAGCCGATCTCCCTCCTACAGTACCCGCCTACAGCCGATCTCCGTTCTCCAGTACCCATCTACAGCCGATCTCCGTTCTACAGTACCCGCCTACAGCCGATCTCCCTCCTACAGTACCCGCCTACAGCCGATCTCCCTCCTACAGTACCCGCCCTACAGCCGATCTCCGTCCTACAGTACCCGCCCTACAGCCGATCTCCGTTCTACAGTACCCGCCCTACAGCCGGTCTCCGTTCTACAGTACCCGCCCTACAGCCGATCTCCGTCCTACAGTACCCACCACCTACAGCAGGCGTATGGTTGTATACCAGCTGCTGTGTATCTGCGCGTGCACTAAGCGGCGACGATGACTGCCACGAGGTGATATTTGTAAGTGATCAACTCCGGTGATGATTGAAGGCAGTCATCACAAAGTGATGACAGGTGATGAAGAAGGACAGACTCGCGGTGGTAACAAGTTAACTGCTGAGCAGAATCATCTGCCAGCGCGGTTCCTGGACCACGTCAGTAGAAAATATGGTTAGGTTCATTTCATTCTCCGACGCTCTGGTTTTGCGTAGTATGATGGGCGAAAATAAGCTAAGTTGGATGAAAATAACAGATTTTGGGAACGAGCTTCACCTTCTTCAACCATGTAGGATGTTTCTGTAGCTATTTCAAGCGACGTGTCAGGAGTAGACTTGCACAAGTCTCTAAGGCAATAATTAATAATTTAAATAATAATTTCTAGACTATATAAATAATAAGAGCAGATTAGCCTTATAAAAGACTGGCGTCCTCTACTTTCAGCTTATCAAGACTTGCCTATTATAACATTACTACACATCCATGGACTTAACTTTCAGTGCAGCCTTGGAGCAAGGCTATGTCAGGAGTTCTCATACAAAGAACATTTAAACTTATTTTGGCGTTTCCTCTTTAAAAATCATAACTGCAATTAACCTACACCGAGGCGGGACATTAAACCAACGTATCTTATCCACGTGCTTGTATGTATGTACTGCGTTGTACATTGCCGTTCAGAACATGTATAGACGATATAGTTGAATGAATTCTACAGCGGGAGGTGATAGAATGTTAGAAGCATTTCTCTGATCCATTTGCAATCTATTTGTTTGTTTGTTTGTTTGTTTAACGCCGCAGTCATGCTACATGGGGACTGCCTATAAATTATCACGCCTGACAAACCAGTGATTGATATTATGAGTAACGGTCCACGCTGCCAGGTAACGGTGACACGCAGTGAACCGAGCCAGACTACCCGATCCATTATGTCGACAAGCACACGTTCCTGGAAACATATACTACTCAGAAGAAGCTAAAGAACACCCGCGCCACTATTTGTTAACATGTTTTTGTTTTACGCCACTTTTAGCAATATTCCAGCAATATAACGGCGGGGGACACCAGAAATGGGCTTCACACATCGAACCCATGTCGAACCCGGGCCTTCGGCGTGACGAGCGAACGCTTTAACCACTACCTGACCGCCCCTGTTATTATGAAATAAACTACGGGGACATAGGTACAAGTCAAAATAAGGAATTGCATCGGACATAATTTTGATCACTGCTGTCACATGTCTGCCATAAAACATTTTGAAAGAATTACTGAGGCCTTGAATGTTGTAACCTTGATCAAACAACTTTTGGACATGAGTCGTATGATTGGCCATGAAATCTTCGCAGAAAGAGCATCCTCGATTGTACCTCAAAAGTTATGGAATGTAAACGCCAAAGGCTGGAGCTGCTGGAATATTATTCGTCATGAAGGGGAAGTTGACTGTTGGACACAATGTTGTGTGTTTGCGTTTCGTTTGCGTTTGCGTTTGCGTGTGCGTGTCATGTTACACACCGCACACAGCGGAGAGGGAATTTGGTTTTGTTTTAGTCACGACTTCAAGACATACAATATTTTCGGGAATAGATTACTTTTTTGAAAAAAAAGGCCATTCGTCCTTTTGCGTCCATCCTTTGAAGATTCTGATGCTGATGTAGATGCTGAACACATGCTAAAGTAGTGCTCAGTATCCATGCTGTGAATCAAAGCCATGGCAGTGTTTCAGCTAAATAAAATCCCAGGCGTATCTCACGATACTCACAGAATATACTGCGACTCGGGAACACGAGAAACAATCCGAAACATTAAACTAAAAAGTGTGATTTGTTGCAAGTTGTGTGGAAGCGACAGCAGGCTTCTGTGTGGACCAGGCCATTCGTCGGAGTTAATTGCATCTAACGAAGTATTGTACGAAAACTTCATTCCACAAAACAAGGTTTACATGAAAACAAACTCAATATATATTTTTTATAAGGGACATATATTCGACATACCCAAATTAAGAGTGTATTTGTGTCAAGTATCTACAGTATTGTGAGTTGAGAATAACGCCGCTTTTTTAATTTAAAAAATCCCATTATTTTCAGGATATCCAGTATATCCAATGAACGACAAACTCTCCCCCCCCCCCCCCCTCCCGCCAGCATTTTCAGGAACAGACTGCCACCCCTACCCTCACCCCCCCCCCCAACCAACAAAAAACAACAATAACAAAAAAACACCAAAACAAAACAAAACGAAAACAACAACAAAAAATAACCACCAAAAAATCAAACAAAAAAACAAACCCAAACCCAAAAAACCTAAAACATTATGGAAACCCCCCGACAAAAAACAACAACAAAGAAACACTTGGACTAACACATGGTCTATGATATTCTTTATTACACAATATATTTCTCCCCTCTATTTATTTCCTGTGCCGATTTCATATGTGGAATAGAGCTGGCTAGATTTGTTTTTAATAATCTTGATGGTTTGGGTTTAATAAAATAAATATATTCCACAGTCCTGGTGAAGGACGAGGTTCGACTCTGAACAGTGAATTGCAGTGGTTCCTCCCACACTGGACCACACCTGTCCACACCTTCCCAGCGTGCCATCAATCTGTGCGTCACAGATGTACCTCTGAAAATTAATTATCATCGTTTGATAGGTCCAATTGTCGCAACAGGAAAATTTCATAATATAAGGTCACTAAATATAATCACATGTTCGACCTCGATGTCTTTGGTAGAAAGGGGCGGTCTGGTAGCCTAGTGGTTAAGTGTTCGCTCGTCACGCCGAAGACCCGGGTTCGATTCCCGATGTGGGTACAATGTGTGAAGCCCATTTCTGGTGTCCCCCGCCGTGATATTGCTTGTATATTGCTAACAGCGGCGTAAAACCATACTCAATCACTTTGGTAGGATGGAGAACGAAATCATAAAAAAACAACATTAAAATGAACATTTCTTTTCCCAGAATTTGGCGAATTATAGCCACTAAAAGATTCTCTTGACATTCACGCCTCTTCTGTAAATAAGCAAGTGCTAGTTTGTATTCACTGAAGGGTCTGCTGATGTTCCTTATTGTGAGAGGTTGCAATACGGTGGCCTCGTTCCTCACACGTTTGGCATCCATTTCTAGGCTGGGGCAGCGGTTTTGATGTACCGTTAGAGCAACCTAAAGCAAACGTCGGGGCGGCGATTTCGACAACAACAATTTTTTTCTTATTAATTTATTCATTGTAGCCAAACACACAAAACAACAAGAATGAAATATATGTTGTGATTGTGACACAGCCTCTGTTGCCATGAATGGTGTTATTTCCAAATAATGGAGAAAGTTCCATTATAATTTCATCAATAATATATTCCTTTCTTGTATAGGGCATGAACTAAGGGGCGATTATTGTCGGTAGGTTTCACTGACAAACGTAGTTTGGCGTCATTCTGTTTGCTAATTGGACCGCCTCCGTGGTCTAGTGGTAGAGCGTCCGCCCGGAGAGCGGAAGATCAGGGGTTCGATCCCCGGCCACATCATACCAAAAGACGTTAAAAGATGGTACTTGTTGTTACCCTGTCTGGCGCTCGGCCCCAAGGGGCTAAAACAAAGACTGGTCGGCTCGGAGTCAGTATACTGTGTCTGAGTGGGGTATTCATGTTAAACTGCGGCATGAACACAAGACTCATATCGAGCGAACGCTTTAACCACTAGGCTACCCGACCGCCCCTGGTATACAAGACATTGCCGATATGGCTGAAATACTGCCGATGTGGCGTTAAATATTAACTCACTCACTAGACTGAGATCAGTCTAAGGCCTCGCTGCGTCACAATAAGGTCTATTCATCCGCCGTGGAAGAACTGAAACGCTCCCACTAAACTCACTCACTCGCAACGAATCATTAATAGCATAAGATTTTCTTAAACTGGGAATAACGGATAATTTGTTCTTCCTTTAATGTCACATTTTTAACACAATTAATTTCAACATTTGAAACCTGCGTCTAATGTCGGTTTTAAGTACATTTCGCAGGAATAACATACAAATAAACCCCGCAAATCCGACAACACGTTTTATTACCAACTTCCGTCAGAAGTGTTTCGCTAGTTCCTGTTAAGATTAACCGTAATCGTCAACTGTAATCACACATTACGGATAAACAAGGTTCTACTTTATTAACACAAGCGTTCCAGGAGAAAAACAAAACAAAACAGAACAGGACTGCAGCACGAATACGTTTTTCGCGTTGGAAATAATCTATCTTGTTTTGCTGTGCGTTTATTTGTTGTGCCGAATCGCTGTACGTTACACGTATGCGTAAGATAACATCATCCATTAGGATTCTCAGGCGTAATCGCGTGTCTCATTTAACATTTCACTTCAAGTGTTTAAAACAATCTTTATTTGTACTTATAATCGTGTTAAATTTTCATGGCTACCGTTTACGTTTGAAATGTAAGATTATGAAACTTGACATTTGAGGCAACGTTCTGACCATTTTACTCATGCCGTTGTGAATTATTATGGAAGAAGAAAATAATATGTGCCGTTTTTCATTTTGAAACTATTTATCCTTGTCACATGAAAGGCAGGCTTCATGGATCGTTCTCTCCAAACGCGAGCGCTTATTTTCCCAGTTTGATGATAATAAAACAATAAAGTTTATGGCGATAGAAATACGCCCATTATATCAATTTCTCACGCTAAAAGAACTGTCCCTCCCTCCCCCCTCCAAAATGCTGACACAAACCAGCTCCGACCCCCGCAGGTTTATCTAGCGTTCATATAGCAGGCATCTTGCCACCCATACAGTGTCTCGCATATCGCATAACGGTTTATAGATTCTGGAACATTTTTATACTTGTTATATCAGACTGTAAAATGGCTGGACATTGATTCGTCCATCCATTAGTCATTTTGACCGTAGGCCATCACTAGAACAATGGTCACCTTATCTTCACAACCAAAGCTTGGAGCCAAGGATGCGCGGTAACGTCATAAAATTCATCC